AGAGACATATACACGAACACAAGATGCCTTGGTAGAAGGTTACAGTTAGTAGAAAACATAGGGTTTTCTAGGAGAGTTCAAACATTGTACAAAACATTGTACAAAACATTTTACATAAACAACTTTCAAACGTTTTCATACAAACTCAGACATTAATATACTTATGATCTCACCAGCATTAAGCTGATACTCGCATTCAAAATAACTTTTATTCTCAGGTTACCACTAGACAGGTACAAGTGCCAGGCTTTTGAAAAGATGGAGTTCGTTCAAGACTCATCTTTTATTTTGATATGTATATTTTTGGTGCCTATAACTTTGGCAGAACACACATGTATGAAATTATAATTTTGATGCAATGGATGACGTTGTTGCTTGTTTACTACTATTCATTGTTGTGATATTGTACATGACGTCCTTCGGCCCAGAATGCTTCTACCATTCATGGTTTTGGTGTGTGACAACATACTCTGGAGGTAGCTATCTGGGTTGCCAATTCTGTGGAGGATACGATTAAGGGAAGAGCAGCCAGTAAGGTTGAGGTTGGCGAGAAGAGGAAATTTGAAGGGTCTGCTAAACCCAAAAAAAATAAGAGCAAGTTCGGTTCAAAGAAGTTCGTGGGAGGAGGTAATGAATTTAAATGGTGCGAGAAGTGTAAGAAGAAGCACTCGGGAAAAGGTAGCGAGGAAGTAACCTGCTACAAGTGTGGGAAAACGGGGCACTATACGAATGTGTACAATATCAACAAGAGGGTGTGCTATGAGTTGCGTGAAGAAGGGTATATTGGTAAGGATTGCCCAAAGATGAAAGATGTGGGAAGGCCCAACATTCCACCAAAGACGAAGGTGAGAGGCTTCCAGATGACGCTCGAGGCTGCAAAAGAGGCAGCAGATGTCGCTTCAGGTACCTTTCTTGTAAATGGTTTGCCTGCCAATATACTATTTGATTTCGGAGCCAACTATTCCTTTATGTCCTGTAAATTTGGTAGAAAACTAGCATTACCTTTAGAAAAACTTGATAATGCCCTGATTGTAGAAGTTTCTAGTGGCAAGTTCGTACCTGTTAGTAATCGTATTAAGAACGTAGTCATCAACCTAAACAAAAATGAATTCCACGAGGAGCTATTACACATAAAGTTAAAAGGTTTCGACATCGTTTTGGGTATGGATTGGCTTAGTTCCAACGATGATGAGATTCAATGCCGAAAGAAGATAGTAAGGGTAAACTCACCCGGAAAGGAATCATTTATGGTGTACGGGGACAAATGCAGAGTGAATTCTGGAATCATCTCCCTGATGAAAGCCAGGAAATGTTTGTCCAAAGGATGTGCATTGTACTTTGCATTCGTAATCGTTGATAAGAAGGAAAAGAAAGAGGCGCAGAATATACCGGTTGTGTGTGATTATCCAGAAGTCTTTCCCAAAGATCTTCCCGGATTACCACCCGATAGGCAAGTGGAGTTTCGGATATACTTGTTACCAGGTACAACAATGATAGCAAAGACACCTTATCGATTAGCACCAACGGAGACGAAGGAGCTTATGATGCAACTTCATGAGCTATTGGACAATGGTTTCATTTGACCTAGTTCATCACCCTGGGGAGCTCCGGTGTTATTCGTGAAGAAAAAGGATGGATGTATGAGAATGTGTATAGACTATCGAGAGCTAAATAAGGCAACGGTGAAGAACAAGTATCCATTACCAAGGATTTATGACCTATTTGATCAGCTGCAAGGTTCGACCTACTTCTCAAAGATCGATCTTAGGTCAGGACATCATCAGTTGAAGGTAAGAGAGTAGGATATTGAGAAGACTGCATTTAGAACGAGATATGGACACTACGAGTTCTTGGTTATGTCATATGGACTAACAAATGCTCCAGCAGCATTCATGGATTTGATGAATAGGGTTTGTAAACCATTCCTTGATAAATCTGTGACAGTGTTCATCAATGACCTTCTGATCTACTCGAAAAGCCAAGAAGATCATGGCAAGCACCTACGGGAAGTGTTGGAAGTGTTAAAGAAGGAGAAGCTTTACACCAAGTTTTCCAAATGCGACTTTTGGATATGAGAATTCTAGTTCATGGATCACGTGGTTAACCAAGAAGGGATAATAGTTGAACCCGCAAAGATCAAGGTTGTGATTAAGTGGGAACGTCTGAAACATCCCACGGAGATCCGAAGCTTTCTAGGATTAGCCGGATATTACCGAGGATTTATCCAATGCTTTTCTTCGATAGTTGTTCCATTCACAACATATACTCACAAAGGAGCTACATAAACGTGGAGTGAGCAACACGATGAGGCATTCGAGAAGGTAAAGAAGAAGTTATGTGAAGCACCAATACTTTCTCTACCCGATGGAGTTGAAGACTTCGCGGTATATAGTGATGCGTCTGGCGTCGGGTTGGGTTGTGTTCTGACTCAAAGAGAAAAGGTGATAGCATACACATCTCGACAATTGAAAGAGCACAAAAAGAACTACCCCACTCATGAGTTTCCTGCAAGTCACACACTGCTCTACATACCATGCTACATCTTGTAACAACCCGTTCTTTCGAGCCAATAAAAGTCAATGAAATTCACACTAACTCAATCAAAACTTACACTACTTTTAATAAAGGTTGCACTTCCTCACTCTAGAGCCTAATAATTAGTATGAATTATGAAAGTATAAAGTGTAAATGTTGTGTTCAGTCCAAAGAATCCTAATTAAAAACCAAGACCGAACACCCTAGTGTGGAGCATTTTGACCGAAAACCTACATAGTGAAAGGAAAAGACCGAATTCCTTCACTTCCTTTGACTTATAACCAAAATCACACCTTGTGCCCCACTTTAGGACCGAATTCACAAGTTTGAGGCCCATTAAGGACCGAACACTCCCCTTATATATATATATATATTTATATATATATATATATATATATATATATATATATATATATATCTATATATATATATATATCTATATATATATATATATATATATATATATATATATATATATATATATATATATATATATCTATATATATATATATGTATATAATTGAATAACCCATTTCATTTCTCACATTTCTCACCGAATACTCACCCATTTTGCTCTCAAAAGTCATCCAAAGATTCTCTCAGTCTTCATAGATTTTGCCCAGAACCTTTGAATCTCTAACCAATTCCTCAAGAACATTCCAAAACCATCTTCAAATCTTCATATGTTCTTCATACCTTCATAATTTCCCCAAGAACACCAATAATATACACCACTAATACCATCACACCGAAAACCATATTTCCCCACCAGAAACACCTTTCAAAACTTCAAATAACTCCAATTAATTTCGTAAGTCTTCCTTACATAATTAATTTATTATTTATCACATTATTCAAATTAATATCTTATTAATTTAAATATGTTGTCGAATATAATTATTTTAGGATAACTTTATTCGCACGTACGCTTACCCGAGGATCATTTCTACAAGGTCGCTAATTCAAAAACAAGCGTACATTCGAGGTAAGTTCATACCCATACCTTTTAAGTGTTTCTAATGATTTTAGGGGGAGAATACGAGTAAAACAAAAGGACTTTGTGTATATACAAACCCTTTTTAAACAGTTTTAAGACCTTTGCAATCGATTCAAACCGAGGATTAGCTAGATTTCTTAAATATATTCTTAGATTTTAACCCTTTTGTAACATGTCGACAATAAGGGTATTATACTTTCATACAATTAAATTGAAAACGTTTTCAGTACACTACAGAACATCACAGGCAAACATTTTCAAGCATGGTTATATGAAACTCACAACATTATAACTAAAACATATGTTTACGGGATTAACACTACTTCAACGGTTTTATTGTATTTAATAAAACTAATATGATACATTACCTAACACTGCAGCTGGTGGTATCCACGCATACATACAAAGGTTTTCATACAAATACAGATACAGTACACTACTTTCTAATACATGGCACACAAATACAATATACAATTGTAAGGATCTTGTCACACCCCCGAACCAGACGGCGGAAGCGTCCATGGGCTCGTGTGACTAACAATTGAATAATCATCACAATGAATATACATGAATCATAACACGATCATTACCAACATTTCATAATACAACTAGCATTGTTCACATCAAGTACATTGTTAAAATACATAAGTTCAAATTTTTTAAAAGTGCGATAAGTGCTATTACATAAACGAAACCATACGCACTTCCAAATCTTCCAGCTTAATGATTACCTAGGAATACAACACTACTAGAAAAATAGCCTTTTACAACGTGCAATGTGTGTTGTAAAATGCTCAAACGACACACAAATGCTCGTCAAGGAAGGCCCTGTCATAACGAGATACGATGCGCTTTTGCGCGTCGTCTATAGATGACACACATTTACGATGCATCCTTATGACACGCAATGCATATCAAGGAAGGCCCTGTCATAAAGGAAGATGGCATGCATTTGCGCGTTGTAACATTACTATGCATACTTATGACACGCGATGCGTATCAAGGAAGGCCCTGCCATAAAGGAAGACGACACGCCGTTGCGTGTTGTAACGTGACGACACGCCTTTACAACTCGCAATGCGCATCATTAAATCTGCTATCATAAACAAAGATGACACACATTTGCATGTCATAAATTACAGTTGCACGACTGTACACCTTTACGTCGTGCATTTACGAAACACTTTTACAACATGAATACACATAATAAAAATATATATATATACCAAAACATTCATTATCATCTAAATGTCAAACAATTTACCTAACAACATTACATATATGTCAAATTACCTAAGTTGTACTATATGTCAAGTTACGTAAGTAACATTACTAAATGTTAACAAAAACGTGTACACATGGGTGTAAAAAGACTACCTAGCATTACACCACATGTCAAGAGACCATACCTAGAGCTTCACTGCTAACCATAACATTGTTTTGATACATTTTCAAAAGCCCATACATATCATCGATAAATGAATCCCATAACAAACTCTGAACATTCTTCACGTATCTTATCGATATCATCGGTTGTGTACTCAACTTTTCCATCCCTGATCTGTGAAAAAAAATTCATATTGTTTTTATTAATAAAAAAATAACATATTAACATATTCTATAACAGTAAGTTGCTATATTTAACAAATTAGCATAAAATGTAAACTATTCTTTCTTAATAGAGCATTCTACTTTCAAATTAATGAAAGCACATTGTTATTTTTGCATGTAACCTAATATTTCAACTATAATTGTGAGAGTTGGATGCCATAAAATGATCATTTTTCAATTTGTTTCCTATTAAATTATAGTAATGAAAGTAGAATGATATATCCTTACATTATCATTGACCAACACTTCAATTTGTTTTTCCACTATCTCCTTCATGAACCTTAGCATGTAGTAGCCACATTCGGTAGATCCGGGTTGAACTGGACACTGCACAATTACATATAAAATGATCATTGCAATTGATCCAAAATTATAGTTAAAACCGCAATTTCAATAAGGAATTATGTTTTGAGAGTAATATTAACCAAATTTAGTTTAACTCGATTGTTGGATCCACTTTGTGTAGTGTACAGAACCATTTCCCTATAAAAACATTAACAAATAGATGTTTATTGTATTCACATTAAATGCTTTGATAATTTATAATACTTACGAATCCACAATTTGCTTCAACTGCATATTGAAATTGCCAGAACTCAAGGAATCAAGATAATAGCAAGTATCCGATTTCATGTCTAGTACAACCAATACCCAATGTCTTCTACAAAAACTTCAAAAAAATTAAGTCAAATGACATAATTGCAGTCATTTTCAAAATAAAATGTCAAATTTAAACCCAGGATTGTAGGGCAGAAATAGGATGTCATTGCCCTTTTTACTAGACAACCGATCTGCTAAACCTCTGCTTGCATCATCAATATTCTTAGATTTCCCTTTACACGTACTTAGTGAGATTAATGTCGGGTTCAAAAAGCAAAGTCCATGATCTCTTTCTTGGGGGGGGGGGGGGGGGATACTTCATTTTGTTAAACAACACCCTGTTATCATACAAACACTAAATTCATTAAACAAATTTTGTTATAAGACACAATGTTATTTATATTAAATTTCTTTCACTTACATCATATAAGACACAATGATAGCACCAGTCAGCTCATCCATTGTAAGAAGTGCTTCAAAATCATCCCAAGTTAAGTACGTGTAACTATCGTACCCAAAAAGATCGTTCTCACTCTGCACTTTTATATAATCAACCTTTGTAACTTGTCCATCAGCTATCATTGCATTCATTTTCAAAATACTACTCTTCTCAATCCTTATCCTTGTCTTCATCTATGCTCTGGTCCACCTTCTTTGCAAAGTTACATTTTGTTTCTCCTTCTTTTTAATCTTCTTTTCTATTCCATTCCCTTCTTCCATATCATCCACTTCTTCCACATCACATGGTTCTTTTTTGTTCATCAACCACTTTTCCTGTTCCCTTTTCTTTTTTATTACTTCTTATTTCTTCTTTTAAAGGTGTTGCACCTTCCTTCACTAGTGTTGCATGTTTTTTCAATGGTTTCCCCACCATTTTCCCTACAAAAATTATCAAAAATAATAAATTAAACAGGAATCATTTACTGAAGCTGAAAAAGAACTCACTCAAATATCAGAAAAAATAAGAAAACCATGGGCAAACTTGTGAAAACTTTGTATGTTTTAAATCTGTGAAAACTACCATGTCAGAGCATCGAATAACTAAGTGTCTTGGCCAACTTAGTATGTGTCCTAGTGCATCTTTGACCTTCATAATGAACTCTTCTTCAATGGAATGGGTATTAAAGCTTCTCCTTGTAAAATTGTTTCCATCATAACTTCAATGTTTTCATCTGCTACATAAACGTAAAAAATAATTAAGATCCAATCTTCTAAAAATGAAAATATATAAATAGTAATAATGAAAATATTTTTCAAAATAACTGATGCACTATACTAGATTATGGTTCCTTTAGCGACTACATTTGCAGGAAATTCAACTGCAAGAAGACATGAATTATCCTACCAAAATATAGTATTTTAGTTTGTAGAAAAAGAAAATACTTTAAATATATTCTTCATAATTGACTTCAAGGACTTACAAGTGATTCATTCCATGGTTCTTTTTCAACATCTTCAATGACGCCCCCTACTTGGCAGCTTGTCACTTCAGAAACATTAAGTACACCTCTTTTTAGTTTCTCCAAGTCATCTTCAAGTTTGTTGATCCGTTTATCCACCCTCTCATTCTCAGTCTCCAAGTAATACTTAACATTCTTGGGTAAATAAAAGTATTGTTCTGGCGTTATAAATTTACCCATCCCTCGTACAAGCCCACGTTGTTCCTGAGTACCCAAGGCCTCTGTAAGCACATCATGTGTTCCACATGTAACCTCTCCAAAGCCTCCTGATTTCTGCAGCTCATCCTGTAAAAAAATTTAGGACAAATATTAGAAAAAAATGGGACAAATTATCAAGTATAACAAAGTCAATGAAACTTACAATTTTATTAACAATCATCTTCACATCTGATTCATATCCTCTTGTCTTCAACTCTCTTCCTTTTTTTCACAACAACATCCTATCAATCTCCTTTTCCGTCTTGCCGGTTTCTTGCATCTAAATTATCAAGAACAAGAAAGTCCATTAACATAAATATATACAAATAAAATAACCAATACTTAGTGGGAATCATACAATGTCATTAATGAGCCCGACATATCTTTTTCTACTCAAACGATGATGGTATTTATGATGTGCATGAGTGTTTTTAGCTTTCATACTTTTCACCTGCATTAGAAACATTAAGAAAAGTTTAACAAACCTCCCACTTTTTTGTAACTTTATGGATACAAAAACTTTTCAGTCTTCTTTCTTTATAAACGGATAATATTTCGGAGGTATGAATAGATTTGCCTAGGATCTTTACTTCGGTTGTTAATGAACTTGGTATATAAATATTGGTTGAAGTTTCTCCACTTCTTTCCGATAGATTGGAGAATTTGCTTCTGGCTCTTTGGGTCAACTACAAGCTTTTCCTGAAACAAAAAAAAAAAAAAAAAAAAAGAGTTAGTCCATAACCAGGGAAAGAAATAGATCTGAACAGGGACAAAAACATGGACAAAAACACATCTGAACAAAAGGTAATAAAAGGAAGAAACAGAGTTTATTGTAAGTTACTACAAGTTTCACTTTATTAGCTTTTGCATTTGTTGTTGGACCTCTTTGCTTGGAGTCCTCATCGGGATCGGAAGCTGAATCCGATTTCATGTCACACAAACACAACCTATTTCAACAAGATTGAAATAAAAGTAAGTACATTGTTATTTGTTGTAGTTGGAAAAAAGTTAACCACATTCAAAATCTGAAATAAAAACATACCAAAAAACTTTATTATTCCGCAAAAAAATATTTAAACTAATATGCCCTCGCCATTCGGGCGCATACACAAAAAAATCATCATCAAGGTCTAATAAAGCGAAGTCTTGTGTTAAGTCAAAAGTAGCATCAAATTCCAACATATCATCAGTTTCACCATTTGATCCACACTTGTACATCCTATGTGGTGTGAAACCAACAACATGAAAATTCTCATCTTCTTGATCTTGAACATAAAAAACCTATTTAACTTGACTAGCTAATACGAATGGTTTAGACTTCTGCTCGAGCCTATCAAAGTTAACTATCGTGAATCCTAAATCATCCTTTTTTACTCCACGACTATCAACCCAATGACACATGAATACAGGAATAGTAAACATGCGGTAATCAAGATCCCATATCTCCTTTATACAACCGAAGTAGTGGTAGCATCATACATCGGATTAGAATCTTTTGAACTAGCAATCTGCATAGTATGTGCAACTAAAGATACTGCACTACATTAAGTTGTTCTAGACTCATCTTGAGATGTTATATGAAAATGATACTCATTTATGGCAAAATCGCTATATTTTACTAACAACAAAATTAGGCCATTTGGCTAACCAACGAACATCATCACAAATATCTTCCCCGTTAGCCAAACGTTTTCCAACCTATTAGAAAAGTATCTAATTAATGTAATTCAAACAAAATAATTAAAAATATTGTAATTCTAACAATTTTATTTAAAAATAAACATATTTCTTAAACGAACTAATAAATGTCTGACTACAACCATGTACTCCTACGAGTGTGATGGGGGTTGAGATCCTTCAATTCCAACATATGTTGCCTGAAGTATATTACAAGTTAGAAGAATGTTTTATATGATAGATAATGGTATAAGAGTATACAGTTTCATGTAATTCTTACACTATATATGGCTCCACAACAGTAGTGTTTCGTAATACATAAAGATGAGCTTGATCAAGTAACTGAGCATCTACAACATCGATTGTAGCATTTGATAAAGGCTTGCTGCTGTGGATTCTTTCATAAACGCGTTCATGAGGTTGCCAATTGATTTCATCTTTTCTAAGTAGTCTGAACAAACTTCTAAGGCCTCGTCCGCCACATAACAATCTGAAATGCAACCCTCGGGTCGATGATGATTTCTTAATACCCTTCAAGTGTTTTCATGTATCTCTCAAATCGATACATCCACCTAAAATAAACCGGGCCACACAACCTCACCCCTCTAACTAAATGCACCATCAAGTGAGTCATGACATCAACAAATGAAGGAGTAAATTACTTCTCTAACAACAATAATGTTAATACGATGTCACTTTGCAACTTGCATAGCTTACTAACATCAACAACTTTACTACACAACTCATTGAAAAGATGACACAAGCTTAGGATTGTTCTCCACACATTCACATCTAAAACCCCTTTGATTGCAAAAGGGAGAAGTTGTTGCATTAGTACATGACAATCATTAGACTTCAAACCATTCTTCTTTGAAACATCATCCGACACGAGAATCTTGAAATTAGAGCAATACCCATGAGGAACTTTTATGTTAGACAGGGTATCATAAAATAGATGTCTCTCTATGGAATTCAATGTTTACTTGGCAGGCGGAAGCCAATTCCCTTTTGGTTGAGGTCATAATTCGTCTTAATGCCTAACGCTTCAAGATCTTATCGTGCTTTTAATCCATCCTTCGTCTTGTGAGGCAAATTCAAAGATGTCCCATAAAGACTCTTGGTCACATTTTTTTTCTATGTGCAAGAGATCTAACTGATCGCGAACACGAAACTTCTTCCAATATTCAAGTTCAAAAAAATCGACTTTTTATGCCAAAATTTAGATCTCTAGTCGATAATTTCTTTTTTCTTCTTTGGTGTTTCCTTCTTTGATGCTCCCTTCTTTGACTTTATATTCTTTTACTTTATCTTCTTACCCCCATGTAGTCTTAAATCCCGCCAGATAGTCATTAATATCTTCACCTGATGATGGTTGTGGCATAAAATCGTGCTCCTATTGATTATTGAAATGTTTTTTTCTTATACGAAAAGGATGTTCAAGTGGTATGAATCTTCTATGCCCAAGGACGCATACCTTTTTAGACTTTGGCAACCATTGTGAACAAGTATTCTTTAAACATGTTGGACAAGCATACTAACCTTTGGTAACACACCCCAAAAGATTACCATATGTAGGAAAGTCACTTATTGTGACAACTCGAAATCTTTATCTTGTACAGTCAATCAACTCAATCAAAGTCGAACTCATTTCTGCTATTTTCTAGCAGTATTTAGAGTCTATTTGAGTGTTATAAGCCTAGTACAATGAAGGTATGAGTCTAGGGATGAGTGTATATGAGTTCAACACCTTTGAATTGAGCCAAACACCCCTTGTTAAGGAGTGTACGACTGCACAACTGGGTGTACCCACGTACACCCCCTTCTAGCCATACACTCATGTGTATATGTGATATATTCCTTCATTATTCATCATATCTCACACTTCTAAGGCTAGAAAACTGTGTTTTAAACAAAGGATTTCATATACTTCAAACTGTGTTTCAAACGAAGGATTTCAATTACTTCAAACTATGTTATCAAACAAACTACTTTTAAATCGTTTTATAAACTGAGATCAAGTCATTATTATTTATTGTTCAAAACTCTTTAAATGTATTACAAAACCTCTTTTAAACTTATATATTATCAAAATCATGTCTATATATGTATGGTTATATAAATAATGCTTAAAAGACTTAGGACAGCTAACTCGTTGTATTTCCTTTTCCTTGTTTGGATGTGGACTTAGGGTATCAGTTATTTGTCTGAAGGTCGTCTAAATATTAGATATATACTATTTATACATATGTAGATATAAAAGTACTATCAATCAGATCAGTACCTTTGGGTAGCAAATTTATACATTTAGTCATTTAATCAATTACAGAAATCACTAGTAAACTATAATAGGTATAGTTTAGGAGAATACTATCATATACAAATACTATAATAGAGAATACTATAACAAAGAATACTATAACAGAGAATACTATACAGAGCATACTATACAGAGTATATTATACAGAGAATACTATACGTAGAATACTATTACTATAACAAGTATACTATAACAAGGTTCATAAATAAAATAATGTGAGCTACTACTTCATGATACAAATACCGTTTTGTAATCAGAATCTCCTGGAGGGAGAGCATGAGTTTCCGTATAGATCTATACAGGATTGACTATCCTACACCTTTGTTGTTCGATACACTGAGATTTGCAACTCTATGGGTGCCAAATGTCATTTCTTCCGGCGTATTTCATCGTCGCGTTATAATCAGTTTAGTATGGTAACAATCTTATCACATCTTTCCTTAATTAAGCCATTGTTTTTAAGGTAGTTATTACTTCAATAGTTAATATAAATAATACTGCAGTATACATACATTTTCCTATTATATTCAAATTGTGATCTTCTCACATAAAGGGTAATATAAAGCGATAGTTTGGTAATGATAGTCATATTTGGGAAAAGCATTCACTTTTACAGAGAAACAAACATACAAAATAGTCGGGTCTTGGTAGAAGACTAGTTTTTATATTAGTAGAAAATATAGGATTTTCTAGGAGTTTTCAAACATATACAAACATTTTCATTGAACTTATACAAACATTGACACTATATACTTATGAACTCACCATCTTACATGCTGAACTACTCTTTCAAAATAACTTGTATTCTTAGGTTATCAGTAGACAGGTACTAATGGCAGGTTTTGAGAAGACAGATCACAGTCAAGACTCGTCTTTTATTTTGATTATTCATTTTTGGTGTCTTATTACTATTAAAGAACATACTTGTATGAAATTATACAATTAATGCAATGGATGATGTTGTTGCTTATTTACTACTTTGCATTTTTATGATACTATACATGATGTCCTCCGCCCCGAACATTTCTGCCGTTTAGGTTTTGGGGTCTAAAAGATTGGTATCAGAGCATTCTTTACTGTGAATCGAGTATATCAACCCATAAAAGTTATACAAACTATAAACACAACGGTATTAAAATACTCTGATCAAGAGTTTATACTTTTAAATACTAAAATATTTAACTAAGTATACATACATGCATTGATAATAAAATCAGTATCACTAGGATAGAACAAAAGTATTACCATTTTTGAACATCACAAGTAGACTTGGGGATGTATGGTCAGTTCTGGGAATAACATAGTCTGATCAACTATGTTGATACGAGAAGTGATTAGCATATGCCCAAGGATGGTTGTGATTTGGCAACAAGACTATAAACTTACCAACACTACTACATTGAGAACATTAGAACAAAAACATGAACTTAAAATAATTTAGGAGTATTTTTTGTTACTATAATTACTTATTTGAGAACTAAAAAGGTCTTTACTAGTAGCTCAATAGTTGCTAAGTGGATACACTAAGGTTATATGAAATTAAGGTGTCATAGAATTAGAATTTGTGGTCTTTGCTTTACTTCATGCTCCTTATTTGGCTGTGGATTTAGAGTTAGGGTTACTTATTTGAAGATCTATCCTGTTTTGATTTCATATAACTGTATGCACTATGAAAGTATTGAAGTAACTGTTAAGGATCACCTTATAATTATATTAAGTAGTACGTCTATATTTATTAGATTCTTATACTCCTTTTCTCGCGTAGGTATCATGGATGGATTCCATCCTCATGAGAACCCATACTTTCCAAATGAAGGCAATGTTGGATGGCTTGAAGAAGAGCCAGAAGATGATCATCTGTAACAACCCGAAATTTGTTCGTCGCCAAAACCCGTTCTACCCGAAAAGTCGCCGTTATCAGATTCGTTTCGTTTTCTCTTTGGAGTTAATTATATAAACTTATATGTTTATTTTATTTTAATGAGTGTCTAAATCACTCAGGAACTCTCGTAATTAGCCCGAATATAATTATCTCATAAGTTTTAAAAATGTTCCCGTCGGGTGACGGTAACTTAATCGGGTGCGACCAAAAGCCGCGTTTAACGTCGGTATCGGGTAGAGTTCCACAGCGTACAAGTTTTTAGACCTATATAAATGTGTTTAACCTATCATTTGAAGCTTTTTCCTTCTCTCTCTACTCTCTCTCTAACCTCTCTCCAAAATCCAAGTTTAAGGGTCCAGAACTCAAATTTAAGGCTTCAAATCCTTAAGGTACCTTCCTAGCCTTAATCTATAGCATATTTGGCTTCCAAATTCGACATTTAATCATGAAATAGGACAACACATATGATTTTACGGCCCAGGAGGCTGCCTAGGCTGTAAACACCATTTTGAAGGGTTTTAAGCCCTTAAACTCCTTCCTAAGCTCATTTGGACTTTAGATATGGCCAAGGGACTTCAAGATATGGACTTTAAACAATTAAAACATGAATTATAGAACCTTGGGCCGTAAACTCATATAATTAGGGTTTGTGATGTTTAAACAATTATAGAACATTTGGACTTTGTGATGTTTAAAGGAGTTTACGGCCAAGGATCATTCTTGGGCCGTAAACTCATATAATTAGGGTTTGTGATGTTTAAACAATTATAGAACATTTGGACTTTGTGATGTTTAAAGGAGTTTACGGCCAAGGATCATTCTTGGGCCGTAAATTCATATAATTAGGGTTTTCATGCCCTTAAACCCTTCCAAATCACTTATATGGCTTAGATATGAATTATAGAACCTTGGTTTTTGCATTTGGACACTTGAAACATGATTTATGGGGGAATTATGTTAGTTTACAGCCAAGGCATGTGCTTGGGCCGTAAACTACATGATTCATGGTGTTAGAATGCAAACCAAACACCCCTAAGGCCCTTAGATGAATTTTAGAAGTCCTCCCATGCAAGTTTTAGGCCTTGAAACACCTTGAAACACTCTATAGAAGAGTTTACGGTCATGAGAGGGGTCTCATGGGCTGTAAACTCCATAAACCATTCAAATGTCCCTTGCAAACTCATGTTAGGCCTAGGAATAATTCTATTAATCACATGTGATTTGTTTTGGAGCCATTTAACATCATTTTCTTGGAAAAATAGGGGTTTACGGCCATGGAGCCATGCTAGGCCGTAAACTCCCATAAGTGGGTCTATTTGATGTTTTAAAATCATTTCAAGTCCTTAAACCAAGTCTAGGAATTATTCCCTTAGTGTTGGAAGTGCAAATTGCACCATAAAACATCCATCATGAGTTTACGGCCGTAAACTCATGGGGAATGGGTGTTTTGGCTGTAAACTCCCTAAAGGGGGTGTTCCTTTGAAGTCCCAACTCATTTCCTAAGTCCCTCGCATCATTCATGTCCCTAAACGCCACCCGGGTCCCTCCAAACACTTGTATCGGAGTGTTATCGCGACTTGAAGCATTTGTCCCTATCCAACAATCAATCTAAGTCCTAATTAGATACAAATGTGTATCTTTACATCATAATTAGGAACCTCGTGTGTTTACAAGTCCCGGATCAACTCTTAGCATCCAAACCGTCTCATATCTCGTCCGGTGAGTTCATACCCCTACGGCTTTTTTCACTGTTTTCAATGTTTTCAGGGGGGGAATACAAGCAAACTATAACTGTTTTCAAATCAAAACATTGATATGTTTCA